CCTACTATCTACTTTACTTCAAGTTTGTGCTCCAATAGTAGGCGTCAGAGTCGTTCGAATCATCACGAACTTCGCCGCGCAATTTGCCGCGCGCACCCAGAATCGCACGAATCGTGCGTCCCCCAAAGCACTTATAAGGTGCGAATAACTACAGACTTCAATGACTTTGCTTTTAGCGAAATCCGCTACCGCAACAAACACCGTGTTAAGAGGATATTCCTGCTTCGCAGTCAAGTATGTTGGATAGTGTGAAATATGCTTTATTTAAGCATATCAAAATTTGGCGCTGTTTGCTTCACTAAGAAAAAGGGTATGAACGAAAATGCGTAAAAGCGTTTGGCCGAAGACTTTTGAGCGCTACTGTAAATCACTAGTGCTCTGCAAATCACTCGTAGCTCGGTGAAGAAAGCCCTCCGTCAACGTATGAGTTATTCTATTTGTTGCCATAACGCTATAATCATCACAGACACAGCTTTAACTTACACACCGTTAAAACAAGTCGAGGTAGAAACCTTGCTCCTATTTGCTAGTATGCGAGTGAATCAACAAGAAACCAATTTCAGATGAACATTATTTTGCATAGCTGGGTTTCTTCATTTCACCTATAGAGGTCTTTGGTCAAAGACTCTCGAGCTGACAAGCCTGCGTGGAATCGCCAAGCTACATGCAATAACCAGCCGACTCCGAACTTGAGAAGCTAAGCATAGATGCGATGAGTGTCAGAAAGAGAAAAGATCAGCAGTTATGGATGAAGCCGTCGAGGCTGGGAAGAGCATCTACAAAGCCAGCCGGTACGTCTCCAGTTACAAGACCAATATGACTTCCCTTTGCCATCCGAAGTGAATAGTTACTGCTACAGTCATCTTGAAGGGCAAAGATTATGTGAAATGCAATCAAACGTTGAGGCTGTTATATCACTTCAACGTAGTTATATGTTCAACGCGCTGTAAAAACGACGTTGCTCGGAACATACGCGGTGAAAAATTCGTGATTCCGAGCTCCATCAGGGAGCGAAGATAAGGGCTTAAGCTCGTCGCTAAGATTGGATAATTACGTGGGGCGGACACGTTATGCGATATTGTGATGAACGTTGAACCAAGGTGTTCACCAATTGAATCCTCGAGAAATCGGACGAACACGAAGACGCCCTCAACGCGATGGTCAAACCTCATCATGAATGCTGTGAACTGAAGGAATGGTATGCCTCGTGCCCCTCGAGTTAGGTCGCTTCACTAGATTACTCTGGCTTGCAACAGAGACGAAAGAAGGCGACGAAAGAAAGAAAGAAGACGCTTGATACAGTTAACGGTCAACAGACGATGGATGATACAGGGTGGTCAATGAGGATAACGTGGAATCATGCAAACCATCTAGTACGTATGGTGGATGATCATTTACTCACTAAACAGAATAATACCTGTCTGTTTGTTCTCCAAAGAAGTCTATTATCAATAACTGCAACTTGCTGTAGATTGACGTTCATTTGTTATTCATCAACGCTTATGGCTGTGAGCATTCCAGCTACAGTATCACCATCCACGGAACAGTTGATTCCACAGTTAGCGCATTTTCTGCTTCCTACCTTCCTGCCATGACCATTAATTACCGATGGTTCAGGTTGCGAGAAGTTCTATACGCTTCGTTCAATGAGAGTCCGATAGCAAGCACCGGGCATTCTGTCGTTTACCGTACATTTTCTCAACTGTAAGTTAGAGTCACTTCGTTGGAACTCTCTGTATCTTTACGGCCACAATTCAATAATGGTTCAGTTATCGCGGTACTATAGCAGTGAAAATTATCAACAAAAAGGCGTTACCACCTGCTGTCGTGGACAAATTTCTTCCACGAGAACTTGACATTACCACCAAGGCAAGTTCATCTCGCTTTTAGCATTCCCTCCATCAATGGCCCAGTATTCAGGTTCGACACCCGCATCTATCTCGTTGCCTTTCTGTACTTGTGCCGTCCGCCTCAAAAATTGTACTCATCTCTGAGTATTACGAGAAAGGAACACTGCTTGAACTGATTTTGAGGGAACAACGAATGAAAGGTTGGTTTTGATGGGAGGTTGGTGAGTATATTCAGGACCAGTGGATGAGGATATTCACGGAAAACTCTCTATATTCCGTTTCCTCCTGTAGACTTGCCAAAAAACAGCGTAGTAGCCTATTCAGCCTATTCAAATTCTTGCGAGTAGCAAGTAGTAGTACTGAGAATGTTCTGAAACCTACTTTTGCACTATTTGACTCTTAGAAGCTCCACGGAACTGACTTTTTGCATCAAATTGACTCTCAGAAGTTCCACAAGGAGTACGCATGTTCCGTCAACTTATGGAAGCTGTTCACTACCTGCACGAGCGAAATATCGTTCACAGGTTAAACCACTATGATTTCATTTCTTACGAAACCGATAACCCATATTACTTTCAGGGACATTAAACTGGAAAACATTCTTCTTGATGCGAACGGAGACGCTAAACTAGCCGACTTTGGATTTGCCCGATTCATCGCTCGTAGAGAACGGTATGAAGCAGTATCCTAATTGAAATGTTAAGTAAGAGTTCCCATTGCAATAACCTCGGAACATCGATGTCCTCTACCTGAGCATGCTATAAGGTTACTGCGGCTCCTTTTGAGTGAATGCCTACTAAGTAGGTGATCGAGCAACTCTCGCAAGTGTGATCGTTACCAAAAGTATCCAGGGCTAATTTCTATTTGGCCGAGAAAAAAATCGATTTAGAGTAATTTTTCTGCATGAAAGTCATTCCCTTGGTGGCCTTGGAATGGAGTTATGAATCCTTGCAGTAAGTACCGCCTATCTGGGGTGCGCTTCGTTGCGCGCGTCCGTCAAAACTAGGTCACATCGCAGCCGTCGCATGGGTCAGCCCACGATCTTTGGCAAACGCTGCAGTTGTCTCTGGGGCATACGATTTGCGCTTGGTCTACGGCAGTCAGACAAAGAGAAGATAACACGGACAAATGCAAATCATTCGCTCCACTGACACTTGTTGGTACAGTAATGTCATGCCAAGACCCCAGTTGGGGAGCGCCGCGCGCGAAATGGGCGGGGTGACCTACTCCCGACGGACGCGCGCAACGGACGTTCTCCGCCTATCTGACTTTTTGGCTCAGCACGGTTAGGCATCCTTCAGCACCATCATAGCACGAATATGGAAAAAAAATTGTACCGCAAAGCTGATACCCTCACCAGCATGCTTATCCTTTTCATGCCAAAAAGTTAACAAACTGGAAAATGTATCAAACCTGGAGTTCATTTTCCTGAAACTAGCTGTGAAATCAATTCCACTAACTAATTTTGCATTATCAGGTCTCGGTCATTTTGCGGTACGAGGCCGTACTCTGCTCCCCAAATAACAGTCTACAAACCGTACGATTCGTACGCAGCTGACTGGTACGCTCTCGGTGTCGTTCTGTACACAATGCTCGTAGGGAAATGGCCTAAGGTAAGATGATATCAAGGAGCGGATTCAGCGTTTCATTCTTTTTTTGGATAATTTTCGAGAAGACTACTTCTACTGCTATGTGTTCTTTCTTGCCTTGTCTATGAAATTGACAAATTCTATTCAAGAGATTTCGCCGTTAGAAATTCATTTCTAAAAATTATTTAATCACGCGGCGAGCATTTTTCCGATATTTTCTTCGATGCCTCAAAAACTCTCATGCAAAAAAGAAAGGGATCCTCAAACAACTGTAAGAAAGGCAACAACAGCAGAGCCCGTATCTAGAGAACATACTAAAGTTTAGAAGCATCCGGAAAAAAGGAAAACGTGAAGGGATCTTTGATTTTTTGCGGCATCGCATGTATAACAAGTTCCATGAACAAACTGAATCTGTAATAAGGTCGCATTTCGTGTCGAGGAGATGCACCCAAACCGCTGCTCCTCATATTGCTCACACCAAGAGAAACGGAATGGCACCACTCCATAATAATTCGATGCCACCCGTTGAGCTAATTACTTACTTACTTGGATAACTTGGCGACCTGTTATCAGCTGCGATTGCTCTTGCGCGGGTCCCAACTTCTTTT